GGTCGAAAATTCCCAGTTGTTTTTTCGGGATGTGGCGTGTCTCGGATAGATCGGACCCCCTCCTTTATGGTCCGGTCGCTCCTACGTGGGTATGGCCGAACCCACGACGAATACAATTAATTAAAAAGGCCCTCTTTTACAATATTTTTAAATATTAAATACATTAAATTTATACAGAGAAAAGCGCTAATACATGAGTTATTTCTGTAAATTTAGTTACTGTCAGGGACGCCCGTACATTGGGGCACATGGAGCACGTGCTCTCTTTTCGTTCTGGGTTGCTCTTTTCCTAATCCCAACTGAGACCTAAATTTCATTATCAACAAACAAAAGAAGATTCATGACTTCGAGCCTATTCTGCAAATACAAAAGAAACTAATGAACGATATTTGTCTATTGTCTCATGCAACTTCGCATGTTTACCAAAACTTGGCTTTGAAAACAAGCAAATTTCCTCGTTTTCAAGGCCAGGTAGACCCCCATTGCAATCAACGTCACCATGGGGAAGCGCTGATCCAACGTTGAATCATAGTTTGAAGCTTCTTGCATAATGTACGATATCCTTTTTTTATAGCTTGTGCACCCGTTTTATAGTCTCCAATTCGTTTACCATTATAAAAAGAGAAATAATGACATTTGACATTGTTAGACGATGTCCATCTCATCCATTTTTGTTTCTTCCGTGCCACAACGAACCAGCGAAGAGAAGTGCAAAAATCTTCTCACTCTCTATAAAATATTCAACAAATCTTATGAAATGCTCTTTTATTCTTCACTGAAAATTCTTATACGTAAAGATCGCTGCTGGAACTGGATTCGAGTGCGATTCGGTTCAAAATTGTTTATGATTAGTCCATCCCGGAATCTGTATGTTAGAAACTCCATTAACGGGGAAAACCCACGAGCGAGAATACAATACATAGATGGCTGAAACGACGCCATGTTTGAGGAGAACTTAATACACGTCTGCCATTTTTCTTTTAGTCAAGTGCATTTGTGTTGTGTAAAAGTGATAGTACCCATTGTTGCCACCAAGATCATTGTAACCACGGTCACTGCCACTCTATGTAGTATATTCTAGTTCGTTGAGGAAAACTGAAAAAAAATAAACTTTGAAAATTTACAAAAAATTTTCCAAACAAGACAACACATCAAAGTGTCTTCACTTTGTTCTTTTCATACCACAGGAAATAAACAGTTTTATCAAATAGAATTTATTATTGCATATTTCTCGAATATTTCGAATTATCGGTAATTAGTCATGGATTTGCGCCTAGCCACGTGGAGTTTTCCTGATTTTCTTCACGTTTGTACACCTAAAAAAAAGCCAGTTTCCCTTAAAAGTGCTCATGGGAGGCATCGCCTATTGGCTGATCGATCACTTGTCGCGTTGATGTACACAACCAATTCAATCCTACTGAAATCAAACAATTATAATTTAAAATGACTACTAATAATTACTTATAGGGCAACATACGAATGACACCACGAAGAATGTAAAAAACGTAAACACCACGTTCAAAAATGAATATTAGGGAGCAAAATTTATAGTAAAGAGTACTCGTTGAATTCAGCCAAAAGTATTTAAAGTACCAAATTCGTAAATATATATATATATGGCGATACAAATCGATGGCTACCGATTGTCATTCAATCCACGTCAAACAGTACGGAAGTTTTGATAATGATCAATTATTTTTAATAGATCCTGTTACCGCAACGAGGTGCCAAACGATTAATGTCGAAATTATCCAGTTTTATTTTCTAAGCCCTACCTCTAATAAACCTTCAAATTTTACGCCATTCTCGATAAATTTTTTTGAGGGGTTTCCCAATTTTGTACGGGTTTAAAGTTACTAAGGAGGGCTCGGGTCAAATCTACGAAAGGTGTGAAAAACACCCTCTTAGGATTTGCGGGGGAAGGAGTTAAAAAAAAAAATATATAAATTGAGACTTAAATAAGAAGTTTGAACCGGAATGGGGTGATATACCATACGTTTAATGCGGTATTATAGAAAATACGCACGATTTTCGAGAGGTAGAAAGTAAAAAGCAATGTATCAGTGGCATTCCTTTTACTTTTTACTTTCTTAATACACGTGGGAAAATATTTTAATGAAAATTATCGATATTGTATTGCATTAATTGACCAAAGCGTTTTTACACGTCACGTAACGCCATTTGACTAGTTTTTAGACGTACCTAATGCGACTGGATTAATTTCGAGGTTACGTCTATTTGTAACTAGTTATTTTGTTTGCTGCCAGAAAAATGGTTTAACGAATCAAAACAATTTTCTTATTTGAAAAAAAATATATCATTAGTTCGACCAAAGCTGTTGACCAATACCGGAAACGGAAGTCGAATATAGGTTTGCCGTTGCCACCATGCGGGCGTTTTTTTTAAACCCAATTGAATTCATTCCTGGGGATTATTAAAAATAATTTACTATTTTATTATACAATTAAAATAAAAAATAATTAGAGCAATATTTAAAAGGGTGAAAATAATATAGTTACTATCTTCCAACTGTTTTTGTGTTTAAAGAGAAGAAATTTACCTGATGGAGGGAACAGATGATCGGGCGACTCAAACCAAATGTTGTTGAACCGAATTATAAATGACGTTCGAGTATCTTCCACTAACGAAAAAATTAAATTAAATAAATAAATAAAAACTTAACCTTAAAAATATTGCGCAATCGTCAAATTTGTGTGGAAACCAGTTTGTTTTTTTTTTCTTTTGCCTAAAGTCATGCCACTTACAAGGTTAATAACATCTCACGATATCTTCATTCGAACATTTGCTAGCAAATGGCGAAGAGTCCAAGTAAAAAGTGAACCTGCAACTGCTCCTATCTATCTTTAATGACAAATTTCTAACGATTGCTATTAGTTTATCCATTAATTATAATTAAAAAAAAACAAACAAACACCGCTTCGTACGGGCGTTTAAACGTTAAACTTCTCACCACAGCGATTTTGCATAAAGGTTCGAAGCCAACTCCAATTTCTGATACAGGGAAACCTGCTTTAATGTGACCACACCTGTGTAAGGCGACCACTTTCAGCTGGTCAAATTAGCAGGTTTCACTATACTTTTCAATTACAGTTTCTATAAAATGCTTCAAAATTTTTCGTGTGTGGTTTAAGAACATCTGTAATATAATTTAAGAATTTTGGTAGAAGCCATTAGTCTCCAAATTGTGTAAATTGTCTTCATTTGAATGATGGACGATGGAGAAATAATTAAATTAGTAAATTAACTCGGAATTTCACTTCCTGTTTAACGAAGAATTAAATAATAATGCCTCGAAATTCTTTAAATGACAAAAAAGTAATTTAATTTCTATACATTGTTCTGAGTTAGAAAGTTGACAGAATGACAATTAAATGATTTATATTCTAAAATTGGAATCGTTCTGGGATAAAAATATGTTTTTTTAAATAGTTTTTAAAATAAAATTTCATACCTTATAATTGTTTGGTTGCGATAAAATGTGAATCATTTTGGTCCTGAATTTGTAAAATATAAAGTAGTAAACATCAAAATATTTTGATGTTTTAAAAATTGTCAAGCTGCAAATTATTCTTTCTATTGTCTCAGAATGTGTTTGTAATTGGTAATAAGTCTGTAAATTAAATTTCGACTGAATAACTTAGATTTAATGATGAGAAATTATTTAATAAGTGTTGGATATTTAATAAGTATCAGTTGAAAATGCTTGAATTTTCAACTGATACTTATTAAATATCCAACAATTTAATATTTTAAAATATTTTTAATTATAAATCTTTCATTGATAGTGGTTCTATTAATACTTTTGACATATTATAGTATAATAATGCTTAGTTTTAAAATACTATAATGGCTTTGGATTGCATAACACTAGTTTTTAAATTATGTGTAGTTTATTAAAAATACTGATAAAACTAAAGATGTGCAATATAGTCTGAAAAAGATTATTGGAAAATTTTTAAAATTATTAATAATATTTTAATTAAACCTGTTCTGTCTTATTTTGAGGCTCTCAATATAATCACTTAAAGTGTAATTATGAAGCATACCAAAAATTATGTATATGAAATAAAGTGTCTTCAGGCTTTAAACATTAATATGTAATGTCCTTAAGGATATTTTGAGCATTAAATATTAATATGCTTTACTCAAAATATTTCATTAAATGTCAGATTGATAATTTCTGTCTAGCTTATTTATAGACTAATTATAAGTTTTCTGTACTCGTTGACATTCTGTTAATTATTCTATAAATGATAAACAGGATAATTAAATAACATTTTGTAAACTTCTTGTATATTACATAAGGATATATAATAATGTATGATAATTTGAACATTTCATATAGGACATCCAGATGATTAGGTGGCAATCTAATACTCTGAAATCCAAGATCAAATCCAAGAGAACAATCCCAGAATTTTTCATAGGTAGTCTGTCATGGATATGTTTGGTCCCCCTCTCAGCACCTGGCTGGACCCACAATGGGTACAGGGTAAATGGAGACCTCTTAGGCAGCATGCACTTATTGTGACATTGAGATGGGGAGGATGTTGATGAATGCTGACACAGGTAGGGGAGATCATCCGAGTGTTTTTGAATACAAAATAATTTCATTTATTTTGGAATATTCCATTGTTAATTGACATTTATTATACATATGATTATGCAAATGGAGGGGAAAGCAGTGGTGATGAAGAATTGTATACAGAAGGGGTGGGAATAAAAATTAAAGCAAAATCTGTTGTCATAATATGTACATATGTGCATACCACCTTAGTGCTCAGAGACAGAGTAAAAAAAATTTCATATATCTTAAAATATAAATTTAGATATTATTAATGTACACTAGTGTAATTAATATTTATAAAATCAATAAATAACATAATATCTATTAATGTTTAAATTAAACAATTAATAAAACTTTATCTTGTTACATTTATATACATATATTTATACTGAAAATGAAAACAATATAAATATTATTCTACAAATAACAAAGTTCATAATAAAATATTATAAGTTGCTTTTATCTTTTATGCTGCTGCATCAAAAAATTTATCAATCATGTTGGAAACATCTGCTGGAAGGTACTTTAAATATTTTTCTGGATTTTTGGTAAAGTGGAAACTTGCATATCTATAAATATTTTTTTTATTTTAAGTATTCTTTATGTAATTTGATTTTAACAAAAATGCATCATCTCATTATAAAAATAAACATTTCTTACTTGTCATAAAACATTTGATACTTGGGAAGTATAAATTCTTTGTTGTCATGTTTTAAACTCTCTCGAAGTTCTACATCTGGGATAGCGTAGGCTTTCTGAATTCTATAAATTTCTTCCATTTCTTTATTAAATCCCTGTTTAAACATTAAGGATAAGAATAAGATTTAAAGAAATATTAAATTTTAAAATTTTAATGAAAAAAAAACTTTAAATAATTCATTTATTTAGACTATTTTGAACCATTAGCTTCATTTTTCAATTGAACTATTTAATATGGAACAGATAGAGAAAGAGAGATAATTTATTGTTGTCCTTCAGAGACTAGACAGTTATTAAAGTTATAATAAGTGTTTTGAGTAGTGCTGTAGCAGTTAATGAATCTCATTAAATGATCCATTTCAATTAATAAAATGCCTGAATTAAGTAGTTTTTTGAAGTCATAAAATAACAAAGGTTCTAAACAAAGTAATGGCAACTTTCATTAAAATAGTTTTGAAGATATGAATTGCATATTTGCATTAATTACACAGAAATTCTACAATTCAGACTAGTGACATACTTCCAATAACAGCAACGTAAAAATATTTTTATTTTTATCACAACCTTCAAGGAAAACTTGTTAATTTTTATAAAGTATGACAAAACAACATAATTGATTTTTAATCAGTAGTTGAATATATTATGAAAATTTAATCTTGACATTAATTAATAATGTTCTTGCATATGTATCTGATTATATAACTGTTGGAAAAATTCTTAACTTGATTCCAAGAAAGTACAAGTACATATTTAACTGTAAATGACTAACATATATAAATATCATTTTTAATTTATTCTTTAGTGGAAGTACTAAAAAAATGACATCATAAAGAAGTCATCTTTTATTAAATGCATTCTGAAAATATTTAAGCACTATTCCATTTTAAAATAACCTCCCAATCAAATTTACAGAAATGTTTATAATTAAACTTCAATAATTAATAACTGTATATGATACATAAATGAATAATTTTTGGTAATGATGCTTAATAGCTTATGAAATAGTACATTAAACTCCATGCCAATTATTATATAATACTAGATACACACACTGTCAGAGGGCATTAAAATCCTTTTTTATAACACAAGTAGTTTCAACAATATGAAATTGTCATCATCAGGCTAGTGAACATCTCAAATTTGGAAAAAACATCACTATGTGCAATATAATATTCTCAACATTTAGATATTTAAAATTCACAATAAAATTCAGAGCTTGCAAGTATGAAAAAGAACAAAAATTTGAAATAAAAGGCACAACAGAACCCTCAAAATATTTTTATGCAATAAATCCATGGTACTTTATACCATGGGATGACTAGGGTGCTGTAACAATGTGGTAAAAAAATTTAAAAAGTGATCCACAAGTTAGGAAGATCAAGTGTGAGTGTATTGCATGGGCACAAGTTGGAAATGAAAAGGGCTTCCCAAATAAATGAAGCACTACAATTGGCATAACACCTTAGGAGAGTGGTTTGGGTCCACATAGGAGTGAAGCTGGACTCTTTTTTTTTGGGTCATCTCTGTGGGGCATGTACATTTTGTGATATCCTGTTGATGTGCTGCTAAATAACTCATCAGCATTCTGACCATAACAATGATGTACAGTTTATTTCCCCAGTTGTTGGGTGCAAAAGAGATACAATATAAACCCAATTACTCAAGATGGGAGAACCTGTCCTTATCATTGCAGATAAGCCTGTGTAAAGTTGGCTGTAGAGAGAAAGGCAAGAGGAGGCCATGTTTTTTGAAGATGTGGCAAATGCTTATAGAGAGGGGACTAAGGTATGGAATTCAACTCCAAGTCCACATCCAAGTCAACTATTTTTTAGAATGTATGATAGTAGGCGAGAATAGCAAATTTTAACCCTGGTATGAACATAGTGAAATTTAGCAGATGAATACTTGTGTTTGGCAGCATAAACATTAGGTAACTCATGTATTGATAAGCCTTTTTACTTCAAAATTAAATTTTGAGAAATATTGTAAAAAACTAATTGTAAATAATATTTAAAATAAAAAGTGATATTTATAACAATAAAATTTTATTCAAATCTTAAATAAGGATACATTTTAAGTAATGATAAATTCATTTTATTAAGCATGAGTAAGTGTGATGATAAATGTAATGCATCATTATGTAAATCATTGTCACGAATAACAAAAATTTAGGAAAAATAAAGTTTTTTGATGTAATAATGAATCAATTAAAGAAAGTCAATGAAACAGTTTTTTTTTTGCAAATAGCAAGATACATTTAAATTCTATTAATTGGGCTGATCTATATCTATCAACAATATCAATGTTAAAAGAATTTTGTCTATGATAAAATAATATAGAAAAAACCAAATTGTATTAAAATTGTCATAATGCACCATAAAAGTCTATAGTAACTATAAATTGGAAATGTTACATTAAAAGTAAAAAAATTAGACATGAACACATGATTAAAAAAAGCACTTCGTTTTTTATCATATATCCACATCTTAAATATTAATAAAATTTAATAACATTAATAAATATAGTTTAGCAATATAAAATAATATACTTACTGTAAATTTATCTTTGATATTCTGCCTATCTTTATCTTTTAACTAAATACAATAAAAAGAAATTATATATTTAAATCATCAATTTCAATTTCATTATGTTTATGCTATTAACTAATAATATAGCTATAATTATTTAGCTTATTAAACATATCTCACTTTCAAGGTAGGAGCTTGTGTAAGAGTAGTTGATATTGGTTTATCAATCTCCAATACATAATGAAGAACTCTACTCCAACTAAAATTATAGATATGATTTAAATAAATCAATAAAATTTTAAAATTCACATTTTATAAATCTAATCTATTAAAATTTATTTATTTTCATACATGAAATATCTAAGGGAAAAGAGTTAAAAATTTTCAGGATTAGAAAAAATTTAAAGTTTTGTTACATGAAGCCAAAGTAAAATTAGCAAATTAATTTTACTTTGTTGACACAAATAATAAATAAATAAGAAAAAATGATCTTGTTGTCAAATGTAGTTTTCATTTTGGCTTCATGCAATGAAAGTTTTAATTACAGTAGAGTCCTGGAAACTTGAATCTTGATAACTCATTGTGTTGTTAAAAAGAAAATACTTGTAATCTAATTTTTACCTCTATAACTTATCAATAACTTATAGAATCCAATAAGTTATCGTTTCTCACTGGTAACACTTAATAATAGCATTAATTCCACCTGTTAACAAAGAATATAAACCTTTTTTCAAAGTGCCACTGCAAAACATCACAAAGTGAATGACATTAACTCTAAAATAGCCATTAAATAGCCAATATTTTTAAAATTAAAATTTAACTACAAATAGAAATAATCACTAATAATACATAGTTAATACATATATCAATTTGTACATAATACCTTTACAAAAATGTCACTATTTAGCCTAGCCTCATCACTATCTGTAAAACCCATCATTTTTGGTAACTCATCACCTCAGTCCACATTAAGTCAAGTTTGCATGCCTCTACTGTATATAAATATTAAGAAAGAAAACAAACTAATGTAGAATAAAATTTCTTTTATAACCTTTGAGAATAAATTCTTTTTTGATCACAGATTTGATCATTGTAGTAATCTTCCAAATCAGGACTACATTTACTAACAATTTCTATTAAGTTTGTCCTGAAATAAAAACATACCAATAATTAACAAAGAATGCTAATGATTTTTATGTTTTGTTTATCATAACTAACCTTTGCAATGCTTTTAATATATAATGAAGATTATTTAAACGGAAAATAGCCTTCAGATAGGGATCATTATAAGACTCACTTTTACTCTGGAGTGCTAAACCCAGAGCTGACAATACTCTCACTATTGTAATTACAAAAGAAATATCTATTACTTATAAAATTTAACTACTATAACATTAAGTATTAAACATAGAAACTTACTGATATACCGTGCTAAAGCAGTCTTATTTATATCTCCATCATCATTAAATGAAGCTAGATCTTGATTATTAAGAACAGTCCCAAGCATATCCATATAATCCTGTAATTGCTCCAGCATAATCATAACCTTAAAAATTTTTTCAATTTTATCATCTTTATAATTATTGATATTTGACTATCAGTCATAATTAAATATTACATACATTGCTTGTAAGTTCATGAACTGTACCATCTTTAGGCATTTTTGTGTCAGGATCACTTTTAATACAATCGACAAATTCTTCTAAAGCTTTGTTTATCTAAAAAAAATTCAATATTGAAAAATTTTTATGTCAACAAGTAAAAGTAAATTTTTTAAACTTAAAAATAAAGCTAAAATCTTACTGTAAATTGTAATGTTGTTGTTAGGCCCTGAAGACGAGAACGTAATTCTGATGTACCCTTCTAAAATAATCAATTTTTTAAACTTTACAACAACTATTATTACAGAAATTGCTTTTAGCCCTAAGTATAATTAAATTAATTAAAATATCTATAACCGTGAGGCAGATAATAGTAAGGGCTTATCACACCAATGATAATGGGCACAAGTGCTCAAGAATCAAAGTAAAAACATTTAATAAAACATAACATCTTATTGTACACCCCTTTTTGTTTTATTAAATGTTTTTACTTCGATTCTTGAGTGTTTGTGCCCATTATCATTGGTGTGATAAAAAAAAGCCCTTACTATTATCTGCCTCACGGTTGTAGATATTTTAATTAATTTACAACAACTATTTTAACTATGAATAAACAAAATCAAATGCACAAAGATTCAAAATTTTAACAATGTTGAAAATTTTTTCTAATAATAATTTTAAATACATTTAAAAAAATACCTGAAAAATTCCATCAAATTCAGGTTTAATGGCATTTAAATGGCGCAAAACAGGAAATAAGGAAAGTGCAGTAGAAAACTCGTGCCGAGCAGCACATTTTCTAACTCGTGTGGCAAGTCCCTATTATAAAATTGTAGTTATACATAAAATGGAAAATATTTTAAAAGATGATTCAAAAAATTTTTTCATTTAATAACTGAGTTATTCACTTTTTTGATTAATATTAAACATTATTGAAATGAAGTGTTATAATTAGAAATAATATTGGTTTTTCCAAATGTAAAATTGTAAATAGAAATAAAATGAAACGGCTTACAATAAAGAAGGCTTAAAATTCATCCAAATTAATATTTTTGAAGTTCAAAACTTTATCTTCAAAAAATACTTATATAATAGATAAGAATAGATCAAATAGGATATCATTGTGTAGCCATGTTTATGCATAAGCATTCTTTTTTGAAGTACCTCTGTCCAAAAAGAAATCTTTTAAAAATAGAATATTCACAAAAATAGATGGAAATGAGTTTTCTATTAAGGATATTGTATTTGGTGAGATATTCAAGAAGTAACATGTAAAAATTATAAACTAATTTAAAATTTATAAATAATGAATTTTAAATAAATTTATTTCTCAAATTTTGAAAATAATTTTAAAAAATCTTTATTCCTTTCACAAGTGAATTTTGTAAAGTTCAGAAAGAAGAGATGAATAGCATTTATGAAAATATTTAGAGCAATTCAAAATTCTAATGATTGAGACATTAAACTAATTGGAAAGTCATATTCTGATTAAATTGAATATTTGACAGGTTTTGGCTAGTTATAAACAAAATAAAATGAAAACAGTCAGTCATTCATCGGTTTTTATCTGATTATATTAAACTTATAATAAATTTTAACTTTTTACTATAAGCTGTTTTATTTCTCTAACTAGCAGATAAACCCAGCATTGCCCAGGCAAAAAATAACTACACCAAAAATTAAGATTAGAAGATTAGAAAAGTACAAAATAATCTAATAGATTATTTTGTACTTTCAACCCTTCTATTATATTAAATTACAGTATTTGATTTATATAACTACAAAGGATATCTTACGTAAGGGTTTATCACACCGAGTGACCAATCTAACACATTTTAAAAATTCTTTAAATTGTGTACAGTAGAGGAATAAATAATTTTTAAAATGTGTGATAAACCCTTACCTAAGATAACCTTTGTAGTTATAAAAATCAAACACTACAATATAACAAACATTAAAAAGAATCCATATAAACAATTTGGTTATTTTATATTTGAAAAGTGATCCTTGTTAGAGAGGTTGTGACACCCCGCATGTGATCGAAATTACTAACCTTGACATTCGAAAGACTTCATATGACTTGTTTAAATAAAAAAAATCTTGTAAAAATGCTATAATAATTGCTTTTATATGATAATAGTGTTTATATTTTTGCAAGAGATGAAAAAAATTACATGGGAAGTATGTTCTCGTAAATATCTCATTTATAGAAAAATAGCAGATGAGCCCGGCATTGCTCGAGCAAAAAGTAATAGTGGCGTAGCGAGGGGGTGCAAGGGAGTATATCATGCACCGGGCATCACTCGCAGAGGGGTACCTAAATGGTCTCCAAGACAAACTATATGTGTTTCTGGAGGGGGGAGCCAATAAAGTGTCGTGCCCAAGGCGCCAGTCATGTTCGCTACGCCACTGAAAAGTAACGATAGCAAAGATTTACAATTTTATAAAGCATTATTAAGGATATATATGCTTAAAATTAACCTTTTCAAAGATAAAATTAAAAATCTTATTAAAAGACAGGATATTTATGCATCTTAGCAACTTAACTGATAAAAGATTCAAAGTTTTATTAAACAGGAAAAAGAAACCAAATAAAATTTAAAATAATTTCTAATCATAAACAATGAAATTTTTATTGTTTACAAATTATGAATAGCTAAATAGCTTTTCTTCTAAATTTTATTGAAACAATGATTTTATTTTAATATTTAATAATTTTTAGAATTAAACATAAAAATACCTGACAAAATAAAATTAGATTTGACATTTCTAGTGAAAATATTCCTGAGAATAATTTTAAGTTTTAAGAATGCTTAAATATAAAGATACATTAAGAGATATAATTTTGATATTTATTGATTAATTAAAATTATGCTTTATCATCTAATTATATAAGATTTAAAATGTCAAAGAATAGTCTCAATAAAATGTGTAATTGCAAAATGATTATTATGAAATTCTAAACTATATAAATTTATGTAATTTATATTACACTAGTTTGATGACAAGGATTTAAGATTTTCAAACTAAAACTATCAGTTTTAGATCTTACTCTGATAATATATTCAATTTCAAACTAATAATAAATTATGTTGTACAAATATTTTAGAAATTAGAAATGAAAAAAAATCAAAATAAATCGGAAATAATACAAACTTGCTATCTAAGAAAAATAAAACTTTAGCTAATCAAATTTGTCATTGAAAAAACAAAATCATATATCATTATCAACCAGATCTTTCAAATTTAAACTACAAAAATGAAAACTTAAAATTAGAATAAATCAATTAATTAAAAGAAAAAACTATATAACTTGTAACCAACTAAAAGACTAAGAACTGCAAAAATAGTTTATAAGAGTATTATCTAATAAGATTATTTATTGCTGGCAATTAAATTGCCATAATGATCTTAAATTACTTACGTTTTTTTTTACAATAAGAAAAGAATCAAAAATTATGCAAGTATATAAGATTTAAGAAAAATAAAACAGGTAAAACAACAATTATAATTAAATTATTAATATTTACACAAATTTTAGTTTATTTCTAAACACAAGTTTTTAGTATATTAATATGTTTAAGTAAATATTGATATTAAAATAAAATTTACTTCTCCTTCTGAAATCACATTATCAAGAGCTTGTTGCACAACTCTGTCAAAAACAGCTACTTGCTCTGAAGGAATGATGATTTTATTCATTAACTGAAGTTCACTCTAAAAAAGAAACATCAAATTATAAATCTAGATAATATATAATTTAAAGAAGTGATACTTATTAATATAAAAATTACCTGCATTAATTTACATAAGGCTGATATTGAAGTGAGATAACCTTCTAATTCTTGTTCAATAATATCATCTTTTGTTTCAGGCAGAAGAGAAGTTTGAAATCTCTGACCTAATAAAACAATTGAAAGAATGTTTCATTATTTGAAAATCATTTTTATTGACATTTGTCTAAAAAATTATTTTGATAATTTTAATTTACTAACCAAGAACAGTACCTTCTACAGCTGGAGAATATTTCATAAAAGCTGCTGATGCTTTCTTCATAAAGCTATAAGAAAATTATTTAAATCACAAATATGCCACCTAAAATTATAATTTAAGATTTTCTTTTTTACTGACACATTTTGAATTCCTCTTCTAGAGGTCCTTCGAACTGCATTTTCTCTTACATTTCTTCTACCTCCCTGTTAAATACATAAACTATCGTTTAAAAGTATTCTGTATCAAATTTAAAATATTAGAAAACAGTTATTTTCTCATTTTAAATAAAATTATTATTATTATAGTTATTATTAAAATTAGGTCAAAAATATAAATATCGTTCTTCTCACTCATAGATTCTATGTCATTTACATGATATCATGTTGTATGTATATATTTGCAAGTAATTTGTAAACTTTTGATATTTAATAAAGTATTAAAAATAATCAAAATATTACTTACCAACAAAGGAGAATTATGTGCTGGAAGAGTATTGCTGTTTCCACTACAAGATTTTAGATGTTCCTTTAAACTAAGAATAGAAATACACTGTTTTACATCATAATTGACAAAGAATATGTAATAAATTTTATTTTTATTATTTATTAATTAATAATGAAATTAAATTTATTATAAATTTTATTCATGTTTATTACTTATTTGTAATCTTGGAATGTGTTCAAATTAAATTATGTTCATAAATTTATAAATGAAAAATAAATGATATAAACTTTCAAACTCACTTCTTAAGTGATTGCACAAGTGTTTTTGATCGAATTGTTGCATATACAGAAGTAAAATCACCGTTTCTATATTTACGTAACCAATTAGCAATTAAAATAAGTTCTTCTATTACTTTTTCTGAAAAACAAATATTAAATATTTATTCTTAAATAAATTTTCATAAAAAAATGTTTTAATTTTACTTTCACAACTGTTATATATATAGCTATACATCAACCAAAGCCGAATATTATTGGGCTAGAAACAGCTATAATACTAATAATTTAATAGACAATTTGGCATTAGTTAGGCAGCATCGCTTGATAAATTTAATAATTATAATTTAATTTAATTTAGATGATAATTTTAGAATTACTGGAAGAAAATCGTCCCACTTCAGGCCGATTCTCTAATGCCAAATTGTCTATTAAATTATTAGTATTATAGCCATTTCTAGCCCAATAATATTTGGCTTTGGTTGATGTATAGCTTTAAACATATCAGGTGTAGTAAGGATGTTTGATTAGTTATATATATATATATATAAACATGCAAAAATATTGGTATTCTGTCAAATTTGATGTTTCAGCTATTTCAATATTTTGAGACCCTCTGATCCTAAAAAAAGCCAGAATAAATGAATAAATGTGTGTGCTAACGTGTATTTTGTTTAATATCTCAGGCTAGGGCAAAGATTAAGAAACAGAATTTGGCTTTGTAACATATATAAAAGAGACATTGATGACATTAAATTTTGATGGTTAAAGGTCAAAGATGTGGGGATATAGAAAGTGTCATATGCTGAATCTCAACTGAGGTCAGATATAATGAAAATTTTACTCATTATTGAGATTTGTAATTTTTAAAAACTCATTTCTACCCTCAAAATTAAGCATTTTGCCATTTTATAATAATTAATCAAATAAGTTTTTTAATAAAATCTTGTAACAGATGATACCATACACAATTTTAACTTTGTGCTAATATGTCTTAGTGTTTTTGCTGAGAAAGTTATACAGCTCATTGCTGGATTTTTTTATATTAATAAATAATATAAAATTTATTTTTTAATAACATCTCATAACATACGGCACCAAACACAATTTCAACTTTGAGCTAGTGTCATGGTATTGTTTTAAACTTAAAAATCAGCAACTTGCTATTGCAATTTTACAATTAGTTTATTAATCATCAATTTTAAATGTTTGTTTCTGTATAGGAATAATTCTTTCAAAATAAATCTATTCTTCATTATGTTTACATTTACAGTTTTTTTTTGGACTTAGTGAATATTTAGATCTGACATCACAACAGTTGTGATAATGATAAATTTTTTGTCACATAATCAACTTCATTTTCAAAAATGTTATCTTTTAAATAGAATGATAATGAATCATTATAAAAATTTTATATCAATTGAATTTGTTTGACTGAAACCAAATAAATTGCTTTTGATACAAAAATGATATAAAACTGAACAAACATAAGAATTTATGAATTGTTTGAAACACTTAGTTAAAAGTTATAAAAATTTAATTTCAACTACAAACATTTGTTGCTTAATGCCAATAAATGTATTAGTAAACATCAAGCATTCGAAGGGAAAATGTTAACTAGTAGTCTAATTCCCATCACATTAAAAAGTTGTGTTATAAGATCAACTGAAAACTTTGTGTGGTCACTTCTGTGTTTGGTGACAACATTTTTCACTTGTAAATAAAATGATTTCTATTTAAGAGTAATTGAATTTTTCCACCAAACCAAGTGTATTGAACTCAGAAGTGACTCCAGACAAAAGTTCCAAACTAAACTCAAGAGAATTTGTTCTTATAAGAATGATAACATATTTGAAAATGTCTTGCAAAAATGCATAGCTGCATCTAGAATTATCTTTATCTTTGAAGCCAAATCACTTAAAACAAGTTGGCCTTTAAGACTTCTGATAAATAAGGATAAGTATTGTTTAACATCTCTCTATTAGACATTTAATTTAAAGATATCTGNTTCTGGATTTTTGGTAAAGTGGAAACTTGCATATCTATAAATATTTTTTTTATTTTAAGTATTCTTTATGTAATTTGATTTTAACAAAAATGCATCATCTCATTATAAAAATAAACATTTCTTACTTGTCATAAAACATTTGATACTTGGGAAGTATAAATTCTTTGTTGTCATGTTTTAAACTCTCTCGAAGTTCTACATCTGGGATAGCGTAGGCTTTCTGAATTCTATAAATTTCTTCCATTTCTTTATTAAATCCCTGTTTAAACATTAAGGATAAGAATAAGATTTAAAGAAATATTAAATTTTAAAATTTTAATGAAAAAAAAACTTTAAATAATTCATTTATTTAGACTATTTTGAACCATTAGCTTCATTTTTCAATTGAACTATTTAATATGGAACAGATAGAGAAAGAGAGATAATTTATTGTTGTCCTTCAGAGACTAGACAGTTATTAAAGTTATAATAAGTGTTTTGAGTAGTGCTGTAGCAGTTAATGAATCTCATTAAATGATCCATTTCAATTAATAAAATGCCTGAATTAAGTAGTTTTTTGAAGTCATAAAATAACAAAGGTTCTAAACAAAGTAATGGCAACTTTCATTAAAATAGTTTTGAAGATATGAATTGCATATTTGCATTAATTACACAGAAATTCTACAATTCAGACTAGTGACATACTTCCAATAACAGCAACGTAAAAATATTTTTATTTTTATCACAACCTTCAAGGAAAACTTGTTAATTTTTATAAAGTATGACAAAACAACATAATTGATTTTTAATCAGTAGTTGAATATATTATGAAAATTTAATCTTGACATTAATTAATAATGTTCTTGCATATGTATCTGATTATATAACTGTTGGAAAAATTCTTAACTTGATTCCAAGAAAGTACAAGTACATATTTAACTGTAAATGACTAACATATATAAATATCATTTTTAATTTATTCTTTAGTGGAAGTACTAAAAAAATGACATCATAAAGAAGTCATCTTTTATTAAATGCATTCTGAAAATATTTAAGCACTATTCCATTTTAAAATAACCTCCCAATCAAATTTACAGAAATGTTTATAATTAAACTTCAATAATTAATAACTGTATATGATACATAAATGAATAATTTTTGGTAATGATGCTTAATAGCTTATGAAATAGTACATTAAACTCCATGCCAATTATTATATAATACTAGATACACACACTGTCAGAGGGCATTAAAATCCTTTTTTATAACACAAGTAGTTTCAACAATATGAAATTGTCATCATCAGGCTAGTGAACATCTCAAATTTGGAAAAAACATCACTATGTGCAATATAATATTCTCAACATTTAGATATTTAAAATTCACAATAAAATTCAGAGCTTGCAAGTATGAAAAAGAACAAAAATTTGAAATAAAAGGCACAACAGAACCCTCAAAATATTTTTATGCAATAAATCCATGGTACTTTATACCATGGGATGACTAGGGTGCTGTAACAATGTGGTAAAAAAATTTAAAAAGTGATCCACAAGTTAGGAAGATCAAGTGTGAGTGTATTGCATGGGCACAAGTTGGAAATGAAAAGGGCTTCCCAAATAAATGAAGCACTACAATTGGCATAACACCTTAGGAGAGTGGTTTGGGTCCACATAGGAGTGAAGCTGGACTCTTTTTTTTTGGGTCATCTCTGTGGGGCATGTACATTTTGTGATATCCTGTTGATGTGCTGCTAAATAACTCATCAGCATTCTGACCATAACAATGATGTACAGTTTATTTCCCCAGTTGTTGGGTGCAAAAGAGATACAATATAAACCCAATTACTCAAGATGGGAGAACCTGTCCTTATCATTGCAGATAAGCCTGTGTAAAGTTGGCTGTAGAGAGAAAGGCAAGAGGAGGCCATGTTTTTTGAAGATGTGGCAAATGCTTATAGAGAGGGGACTAAGGTATGGAATTCAACTCCAAGTCCACATCCAAGTCAACTATTTTTTAGAATGTATGATAGTAGGCGAGAATAGCAAATTTTAACCCTGGTATGAACATAGTGAAATTTAGCAGATGAATACTTGTGTTTGGCAGCATAAACATTAGGTAACTCATGTATTGATAAGCCTTTTTACTTCAAAATTAAATTTTGAGAAATATTGTAAAAAACTAATTGTAAATAATATTTAAAATAAAAAGTGATATTTATAACAATAAAATTTTATTCAAATCTTAAATAAGGATACATTTTAAGTAATGATAAATTCATTTTATTAAGCATGAGTAAGTGTGATGATAAATGTAATGCATCATTATGTAAATCATTGTCACGAATAACAAAAATTTAGGAAAAATAAAGTTTTTTGATGTAATAATGAATCAATTAAAGAAAGTCAATGAAACAGTTTTTTTTTTGCAAATAGCAAGATACATTTAAATTCTATTAATTGGGCTGATCTATATCTATCAACAATATCAATGTTAAAAGAATTTTGTCTATGATAAAATAATATAGAAAAAACCAAATTGTATTAAAATTGTCATAATGCACCATAAAAGTCTATAGTAACTATAAATTGGAAATGTTACATTAAAAGTAAAAAAATTAGACATGAACACATGATTAAAAAAAGCACTTCGTTTTTTATCATATATCCACATCTTAAATATTAATAAAATTTAATAACATTAATAAATATAGTTTAGCAATATAAAATAATATACTTACTGTAAATTTATCTTTGATATTCTGCCTATCTTTATCTTTTAACTAAATACAATAAAAAGAAATTATATATTTAAATCATCAATTTCAATTTCATTATGTTTATGCTATTAACTAATAATATAGCTATAATTATTTAGCTTATTAAACATATCTCACTTTCAAGGTAGGAGCTTGTGTAAGAGTAGTTGATATTGGTTTATCAATCTCCAATACATAATGAAGAACTCTACTCCAACTAAAATTATAGATATGATTTAAATAAATCAATAAAATTTTAAAATTCACATTTTATAAATCTAATCTATTAAAATTTATTTATTTTCATACATGAAATATCTAAGGGAAAAGAGTTAAAAATTTTCAGGATTAGAAAAAATTTAAAGTTTTGTTACATGAAGCCAAAGTAAAATTAGCAAATTAATTTTACTTTGTTGACACAAATAATAAATAAATAAGAAAAAATGATCTTGTTGTCAAATGTAGTTTTCATTTTGGCTTCATGCAATGAAAGTTTTAATTACAGTAGAGTCCTGGAAACTTGAATCTTGATAACTCATTGTGTTGTTAAAAAGAAAATACTTGTAATCTAATTTTTACCTCTATAACTTATCAATAACTTATAGAATCCAATAAGTTATCGTTTCTCACTGGTAACACTTAATAATAGCATTAATTCCACCTGTTAACAAAGAATATAAACCTTTTTTCAAAGTGCCACTGCAAAACATCACAAAGTGAATGACATTAACTCTAAAATAGCCATTAAATAGCCAATATTTTTAAAATTAAAATTTAACTACAAATAGAAATAATCACTAATAATACATAGTTAATACATATATCAATTTGTACATAATACCTTTACAAAAATGTCACTATTTAGCCTAGCCTCATCACTATCTGTAAAACCCATCATTTTTGGTAACTCATCACCTCAGTCCACATTAAGTCAAGTTTGCATGCCTCTACTGTATATAAATATTAAGAAAGAAAACAAACTAATGTAGAATAAAATTTCTTTTATAACCTTTGAGAATAAATTCTTTTTTGATCACAGATTTGATCATTGTAGTAATCTTCCAAATCAGGACTACATTTACTAACAATTTCTATTAAGTTTGTCCTGAAATAAAAACATACCAATAATTAACAAAGAATGCTAATGATTTTTATGTTTTGTTTATCATAACTAACCTTTGCAATGCTTTTAATATATAATGAAGATTATTTAAACGGAAAATAGCCTTCAGATAGGGATCATTATAAGACTCACTTTTACTCTGGAGTGCTAAACCCAGAGCTGACAATACTCTCACTATTGTAATTACAAAAGAAATATCTATTACTTATAAAATTTAACTACTATAACATTAAGTATTAAACATAGAAACTTACTGATATACCGTGCTAAAGCAGTCTTATTTATATCTCCATCATCATTAAATGAAGCTAGATCTTGATTATTAAGAACAGTCCCAAGCATATCCATATAATCCTGTAATTGCTCCAGCATAATCATAACCTTAAAAATTTTTTCAATTTTATCATCTTTATAATTATTGATATTTGACTATCAGTCATAATTAAATATTACATACATTGCTTGTAAGTTCATGAACTGTACCATCTTTAGGCATTTTTGTGTCAGGATCACTTTTAATACAATCGACAAATTCTTCTAAAGCTTTGTTTATCTAAAAAAAATTCAATATTGAAAAATTTTTATGTCAACAAGTAAAAGTAAATTTTTTAAACTTAAAAATAAAGCTAAAATCTTACTGTAAATTGTAATGTTGTTGTTAGGCCCTGAAGACGAGAACGTAATTCTGATGTACCCTTCTAAAATAATCAATTTTTTAAACTTTACAACAACTATTATTACAGAAATTGCTTTTAGCCCTAAGTATAATTAAATTAATTAAAATATCTATAACCGTGAGGCAGATAATAGTAAGGGCTTATCACACCAATGATAATGGGCACAAGTGCTCAAGAATCAAAGTAAAAACATTTAATAAAACATAACATCTTATTGTACACCCCTTTTTGTTTTATTAAATGTTTTTACTTCGATTCTTGAGTGTTTGTGCCCATTATCATTGGTGTGATAAAAAAAAGCCCTTACTATTATCTGCCTCACGGTTGTAGATATTTTAATTAATTTACAACAACTATTTTAACTATGAATAAACAAAATCAAATGCACAAAGATTCAAAATTTTAACAATGTTGAAAATTTTTTCTAATAATAATTTTAAATACATTTAAAAAAATACCTGAAAAATTCCATCAAATTCAGGTTTAATGGCATTTAAATGGCGCAAAACAGGAAATAAGGAAAGTGCAGTAGAAAACTCGTGCCGAGCAGCACATTTTCTAACTCGTGTGGCAAGTCCCTATTATAAAATTGTAGTTATACATAAAATGGAAAATATTTTAAAAGATGATTCAAAAAATTTTTTCATTTAATAACTGAGTTATTCACTTTTTTGATTAATATTAAACATTATTGAAATGAAGTGTTATAATTAGAAATAATATTGGTTTTTCCAAATGTAAAATTGTAAATAGAAATAAAATGAAACGGCTTACAATAAAGAAGGCTTAAAATTCATCCAAATTAATATTTTTGAAGTTCAAAACTTTATCTTCAAAAAATACTTATATAATAGATAAGAATAGATCAAATAGGATATCATTGTGTAGCCATGTTTATGCATAAGCATTCTTTTTTGAAGTACCTCTGTCCAAAAAGAAATCTTTTAAAAATAGAATATTCACAAAAATAGATGGAAATGAGTTTTCTATTAAGGATATTGTATTTGGTGAGATATTCAAGAAGTAACATGTAAAAATTATAAACTAATTTAAAATTTATAAATAATGAATTTTAAATAAATTTATTTCTCAAATTTTGAAAATAATTTTAAAAAATCTTTATTCCTTTCACAAGTGAATTTTGTAAAGTTCAGAAAGAAGAGATGAATAGCATTTATGAAAATATTTAGAGCAATTCAAAATTCTAATGATTGAGACATTAAACTAATTGGAAAGTCATATTCTGATTAAATTGAATATTTGACAGGTTTTGGCTAGTTATAAACAAAATAAAATGAAAACAGTCAGTCATTCATCGGTTTTTATCTGATTATATTAAACTTATAATAAATTTTAACTTTTTACTATAAGCTGTTTTATTTCTCTAACTAGCAGATAAACCCAGCATTGCCCAGGCAAAAAATAACTACACCAAAAATTAAGATTAGAAGATTAGAAAAGTACAAAATAATCTAATAGATTATTTTGTACTTTCAACCCTTCTATTATATTAAATTACAGTATTTGATTTATATAACTACAAAGGATATCTTACGTAAGGGTTTATCACACCGAGTGACCAATCTAACACATTTTAAAAATTCTTTAAATTGTGTACAGTAGAGGAATAAATAATTTTTAAAATGTGTGATAAACCCTTACCTAAGATAACCTTTGTAGTTATAAAAATCAAACACTACAATATAACAAACATTAAAAAGAATCCATATAAACAATTTGGTTATTTTATATTTGAAAAGTGATCCTTGTTAGAGAGGTTGTGACACCCCGCATGTGATCGAAATTACTAACCTTGACATTCGAAAGACTTCATATGACTTGTTTAAATAAAAAAAATCTTGTAAAAATGCTATAATAATTGCTTTTATATGATAATAGTGTTTATATTTTTGCAAGAGATGAAAAAAATTACATGGGAAGTATGTTCTCGTAAATATCTCATTTATAGAAAAATAGCAGATGAGCCCGGCATTGCTCGAGCAAAAAGTAATAGTGGCGTAGCGAGGGGGTGCAAGGGAGTATATCATGCACCGGGCATCACTCGCAGAGGGGTACCTAAATGGTCTCCAAGACAAACTATATGTGTTTCTGGAGGGGGGAGCCAATAAAGTGTCGTGCCCAAGGCGCCAGTCATGTTCGCTACGCCACTGAAAAGTAACGATAGCAAAGATTTACAATTTTATAAAGCATTATTAAGGATATATATGCTTAAAATTAACCTTTTCAAAGATAAAATTAAAAATCTTATTAAAAGACAGGATATTTATGCATCTTAGCAACTTAACTGATAAAAGATTCAAAGTTTTATTAAACAGGAAAAAGAAACCAAATAAAATTTAAAATAATTTCTAATCATAAACAATGAAAAGTAACGATAGCAAAGATTTACAATTTTATAAAGCATTATTAAGGATATATATGCTTAAAATTAACCTTTTCAAAGATAAAATTAAAAATCTTATTAAAAGACAGGATATTTATGCATCTTAGCAACTTAACTGATAAAAGATTCAAAGTTTTATTAAACAGGAAAAAGAAACCAAATAAAATTTAAAATAATTTCTAATCATAAACAATGAAATTTTTATTGTTTACAAATTATGAATAGCTAAATAGCTTTTCTTCTAAATTTTATTGAAACAATGATTTTATTTTAATATTTAATAATTTTTAGAATTAAACATAAAAATACCTGACAAAATAAAATTAGATTTGACATTTCTAGTGAAAATATTCCTGAGAATAATTTTAAGTTTTAAGAATGCTTAAATATAAAGATACATTAAGAGATATAATTTTGATATTTATTGATTAATTAAAATTATGCTTTATCATCTAATTATATAAGATTTAAAATGTCAAAGAATAGTCTCAATAAAATGTGTAATTGCAAAATGATTATTATGAAATTCTAAACTATATAAATTTATGTAATTTATATTACACTAGTTTGATGACAAGGATTTAAGATTTTCAAACTAAAACTATCAGTTTTAGATCTTACTCTGATAATATATTCAATTTCAAACTAATAATAAATTATGTTGTACAAATATTTTAGAAATTAGAAATGAAAAAAAATCAAAATAAATCGGAAATAATACAAACTTGCTATCTAAGAAAAATAAAACTTTAGCTAATCAAATTTGTCATTGAAAAAACAAAATCATATATCATTATCAACCAGATCTTTCAAATTTAAACTACAAAAATGAAAACTTAAAATTAGAATAAATCAATTAATTAAAAGAAAAAACTATATAACTTGTAACCAACTAAAAGACTAAGAACTGCAAAAATAGTTTATAAGAGTATTATCTAATAAGATTATTTATTGCTGGCAATTAAATTGCCATAATGATCTTAAATTACTTACGTTTTTTTTTACAATAAGAAAAGAATCAAAAATTATGCAAGTATATAAGATTTAAGAAAAATAAAACAGGTAAAACAACAATTATAATTAAATTATTAATATTTACACAAATTTTAGTTTATTTCTAAACACAAGTTTTTAGTATATTAATATGTTTAAGTAAATATTGATATTAAAATAAAATTTACTTCTCCTTCTGAAATCACATTATCAAGAGCTTGTTGCACAACTCTGTCAAAAACAGCTACTTGCTCTGAAGGAATGATGATTTTATTCATTAACTGAAGTTCACTCTAAAAAAGAAACATCAAATTATAAATCTAGATAATATATAATTTAAAGAAGTGATACTTATTAATATAAAAATTACCTGCATTAATTTACATAAGGCTGATATTGAAGTGAGATAACCTTCTAATTCTTGTTCAATAATATCATCTTTTGTTTCAGGCAGAAGAGAAGTTTGAAATCTCTGACCTAATAAAACAATTGAAAGAATGTTTCATTATTTGAAAATCATTTTTATTGACATTTGTCTAAAAAATTATTTTGATAATTTTAATTTACTAACCAAGAACAGTACCTTCTACAGCTGGAGAATATTTCATAAAAGCTGCTGATGCTTTCTTCATAAAGCTATAAGAAAATTATTTAAATCACAAATATGCCACCTAAAATTATAATTTAAGATTTTCTTTTTTACTGACACATTTTGAATTCCTCTTCTAGAGGTCCTTCGAACTGCATTTTCTCTTACATTTCTTCTACCTCCCTGTTAAATACATAAACTATCGTTTAAAAGTATTCTGTATCAAATTTAAAATATTAGAAAACAGTTATTTTCTCATTTTAAATAAAATTATTATTATTATAGTTATTATTAAAATTAGGTCAAAAATATAAATATCGTTCTTCTCACTCATAGATTCTATGTCATTTACATGATATCATGTTGTATGTATATATTTGCAAGTAATTTGTAAACTTTTGATATTTAATAAAGTATTAAAAATAATCAAAATATTACTTACCAACAAAGGAGAATTATGTGCTGGAAGAGTATTGCTGTTTCCACTACAAGATTTTAGATGTTCCTTTAAACTAAGAATAGAAATACACTGTTTTACATCATAATTGACAAAGAATATGTAATAAATTTTATTTTTATTATTTATTAATTAATAATGAAATTAAATTTATTATAAATTTTATTCATGTTTATTACTTATTTGTAATCTTGGAATGTGTTCAAATTAAATTATGTTCATAAATTTATAAATGAAAAATAAATGATATAAACTTTCAAACTCACTTCTTAAGTGATTGCACAAGTGTTTTTGATCGAATTGTTGCATATACAGAAGTAAAATCACCGTTTCTATATTTACGTAACCAATTAGCAATTAAAATAAGTTCTTCTATTACTTTTTCTGAAAAACAAATATTAAATATTTATTCTTAAATAAATTTTCATAAAAAAATGTTTTAATTTTACTTTCACAACTGTTATATATATAGCTATACATCAACCAAAGCCGAATATTATTGGGCTAGAAACAGCTATAATACTAATAATTTAATAGACAATTTGGCATTAGTTAGGCAGCATCGCTTGATAAATTTAATAATTATAATTTAATTTAATTTAGATGATAATTTTAGAATTACTGGAAGAAAATCGTCCCACTTCAGGCCGATTCTCTAATGCCAAATTGTCTATTAAATTATTAGTATTATAGCCATTTCTAGCCCAATAATATTTGGCTTTGGTTGATGTATAGCTTTAAACATATCAGGTGTAGTAAGGATGTTTGATTAGTTATATATATATATATATAAACATGCAAAAATATTGGTATTCTGTCAAATTTGATGTTTCAGCTATTTCAATATTTTGAGACCCTCTGATCCTAAAAAAAGCCAGAATAAATGAATAAATGTGTGTGCTAACGTGTATTTTGTTTAATATCTCAGGCTAGGGCAAAGATTAAGAAACAGAATTTGGCTTTGTAACATATATAAAAGAGACATTGATGACATTAAATTTTGATGGTTAAAGGTCAAAGATGTGGGGATATAGAAAGTGTCATATGCTGAATCTCAACTGAGGTCAGATATAATGAAAATTTTACTCATTATTGAGATTTGTAATTTTTAAAAACTCATTTCTACCCTCAAAATTAAGCATTTTGCCATTTTATAATAATTAATCAAATAAGTTTTTTAATAAAATCTTGTAACAGATGATACCATACACAATTTTAACTTTGTGCTAATATGTCTTAGTGTTTTTGCTGAGAAAGTTATACAGCTCATTGCTGGATTTTTTTATATTAATAAATAATATAAAATTTATTTTTTAATAACATCTCATAACATACGGCACCAAACACAATTTCAACTTTGAGCTAGTGTCATGGTATTGTTTTAAACTTAAAAATCAGCAACTTGCTATTGCAATTTTACAATTAGTTTATTAATCATCAATTTTAAATGTTTGTTTCTGTATAGGAATAATTCTTTCAAAATAAATCTATTCTTCATTATGTTTACATTTACAGTTTTTTTTTGGACTTAGTGAATATTTAGATCTGACATCACAACAGTTGTGATAATGATAAATTTTTTGTCACATAATCAACTTCATTTTCAAAAATGTTATCTTTTAAATAGAATGATAATGAATCATTATAAAAATTTTATATCAATTGAATTTGTTTGACTGAAACCAAATAAATTGCTTTTGATACAAAAATGATATAAAACTGAACAAACATAAGAATTTATGAATTGTTTGAAACACTTAGTTAAAAGTTATAAAAATTTAATTTCAACTACAAACATTTGTTGCTTAATGCCAATAAATGTATTAGTAAACATCAAGCATTCGAAGGGAAAATGTTAACTAGTAGTCTAATTCCCATCACATTAAAAAGTTGTGTTATAAGATCAACTGAAAACTTTGTGTGGTCACTTCTGTGTTTGGTGACAACATTTTTCACTTGTAAATAAAATGATTTCTATTTAAGAGTAATTGAATTTTTCCACCAAACCAAGTGTATTGAACTCAGAAGTGACTCCAGACAAAAGTTCCAAACTAAACTCAAGAGAATTTGTTCTTATAAGAATGATAACATATTTGAAAATGTCTTGCAAAAATGCATAGCTGCATCTAGAATTATCTTTATCTTTGAAGCCAAATCACTTAAAACAAGTTGGCCTTTAAGACTTCTGATAAATAAGGATAAGTATTGTTTAACATCTCTCTATTAGACATTTAATTTAAAGATATCTGATATATATATATATNATTATTGGCTTGAATGCAAGAATACTTGCATTCAAGCCAAAAGATCAGAACATAAAATTTTAAAATCTTACAAAACAGATTTATATAGTTTTGATTAACCTTTTTCAAGCAATAAAATTTACTAAAAATTTGTTATTAGAAAATTATACACCAAAAATGGATACCAAACTGTTATAGATATGCTTCACTTAATATGCCAAACAAATTATTTCAGACAGAAAGACAAATTTTATTTATAACAGTTAAGTGTTCCAATGGACTTATTTTTATCAGCATTTCTAGCAGAAAAAGTGTATGAGACAATTGGAAGAAAATATTTTTCATAGTCCTATTGCAATTCCATACCTCCATTACCTGATGAGGCTATGTAGACATAGTAATAATAGGATGACAGTATAAAAATTTTTTAATGTATTCTTTATTATATCAACAATATATCTTCAAATATTACATTTTTGCAGTAAGCTAAAATTTTTGCACATATATAGCATTCCTTGATCTGTCAATAACTATACTTTTGAATTCAATATTCATCATAAAAGCAATTTGCCTTCAGTCTTTCTAACTAAAAAATCATATCAATTTGATAAATTTGTTAATGTAACCCTTGTGTAGCCTATATAAGGAGGCATACAAATATTCCTGGGTCATTACCATATTGTATTCAATTTCAAAAATAATTAATAAATCTATGACCAACAGTGGTTATTCTATCCCAACATTTAATTATTGAAACACAAAATTAGGTATGAATTATTTTCATTGATTACATTAACTCCAAATAATGAAAAATTATTTTTTTCTCCACCTTCTATAGTAGTGTAATATACATGTTATTAAAGTTATATAATAATCTTTCTTTTCAGCTAACATTATCCTCTCTACACAGATTATGCTTTAATGATAGAGATCAGTAGGAAAATAGAAAAAAGTTAGAAAATACTATTAAAAACTAGGAATGCAGAACATTTGTTTACTTTAGAACAAAGAAATTTTCAAATTGAGTTGGAAAAATACAAGAATGTTATTTACACTTAAAAATTTGTAAACTTTGTTATTTGAAGAAGCTCTATTTATTAAAATATAATAATTCTATATTAAAAATTTGCAAATATGGGATTATATTCTTTACTTCTATGCAAACAAAGTGAATTTTCAACACAAAAATATGTTAAAAGTGTAAATTATTTTATATTTGAAATGAGCAGATTCAAAATTTATTGTTTGTTTCAAACTTTGAATCCAACTGACAATACTTAATTTGTAAATTTAAGCATAATTACTTTTAATCATGGTTTTTTGAAAAAATGTTCAATATTGTATTGTATATTATGTCAATTTGCTAATATATATTAAAATTGCATTTCATATTTGTAAAAATTATTAAACACAGTTTTGTAAAAGAAAAAATACAGAACATAAATTCTCAATTTATGTGCTTTTAAAATATTCTAAAAATATTATCTCATTTTCTAATAATTAGAGATAAAATTTTGGCAAATTTGAAGTTCATTTACAGTTGCGATACAATGATTCTTAACTAGATAAATATTTTTTAATAATAAATTAATATTTATTCTTAGAATATTGTTTAAATATACTAATGTATTTAATTTATTAGAGTTATATATTGTCAAATACATTATTGTACACTATTTACTTCAAGCTACATTAAAATTCATTTTAATAAATTTATTAAATTATTTAATTTAACTTTAAAAAATAAATCTTTACCTGGTAATTGGTCAAAAGTTGGTTTTTCCAATCCTTGAAATATTTCTGAAAAAAAATTTTAAAACTGTATTCAGCAAATTATAATTTTGCATTAAATAATAAATTATTGTAAATAAAATACTTAAATTATCTGATTACTTGTAAATTCAATATTTTAATAAAATAAAATACACATCTAACTTTAATAATTATTAAACATACCATCATCTAAACCTAATAAATCCAAAATCATAATTGTTGGCATGGTCTTGCTATTAGAATATAAAAGATTTCTAAATTCTTTCTCTAATGAGGATCCACCATGTTCACAAAGAGCTAACTACAATGAATAATATATATATATTAAAAACAAACAAAAATTAATAAATTTTAATTTCAATTCAATTTATATGTATTTTTTTGACACTTGGAAAAGGCCTATGACCATAGTGTTGTTTAGTTTAAATAAAAAAATATAAATAAAAAGAAATTCAAATATTAACAATTGATAATTTTATAATTAAAAAAATAATTAAATATCTGCATATTAAATATTCAACTCAATTGTTCATCTGAACAAAATTCTATATACTTGATTATATAATTTTGTTTTAAATTATTAAAAATTGGAAATATAAATACCAAAAGTGCTGCAATCTTTATAAATACAGTAGAGCATCGATTATCCGACCCCCAATTAACCGTCACATTGGTTAACCGACCGTTCTAGTCTGCAAATTTCAAATGTCCGTTAATGATATGGTGCTACAATATTTGGCTATGTCTTGGCTACTTTAATATAATTTTTGTTAAATTTTTGCATGTTTTAGCTGGCAATACTGGCTAGACTATGAAAGGGAAGTCAGTATTTAAATGAGATTTAATTTTCTAATTATGAGTGGTTGTTTGTTTCGTGAGCAATAAAATAATTTAAAAATAATTTTAATGATACAATAGCGATGATTATTATTTTAAAAAAAAAATTGTTAGGCCTAACATCGATGAAAATTCAACGCGAAGTAGGTTAATGATATACTAATATACTAATTACTTTTAACTAATTAATAGCAATATACTAATATACTATAATAATAATGTATTTTTTTTCATTATTTTCGGTTATTCGATTTTTTCAGTTATCCAACCAACCTGAGTCCCCAATTGAGTTGGATAATCGATGCTCTACTGTATAAACCTGGAAAAATCTTTCTAAGCTAACAGAGGGTACATTATATGCAGAATTACAAAGATTCACTGATAAAAGTTTTATATCGTGAAACTCTGCAAAGTGACAGAATAGGAGCACATGACCGCCATCATTTAGTAGTCATGAGTTTCTAGTCTGTGTGAAGTCTCAGTTCACTGTGTTGAATTATTCAATAAATCAAGTTTAAACATAAGCTTATGTTTAAACTTGTCTTTGTTTACTTTGTACAGAATGAGGAATAACAATCACTGACTTGACTTTGAATTTTTAACTCAAAGTCAAGTCAGCAAAGTCAAGATTGCATGCTTATTAAAATTCAGAGTATTTTAAAACATTAAAAATACCTAAGAGACATATTTATATAGCAAGACTAGAAAGAACAATCATTTTGTTGTGCCATGATAGCACAGGACTGTACTGAAATAAGAAAAGAATAAAAATGCAAAGTTATGGGTTATTCCCATACTTTCATTAAAATCCACATTTGGTACTGTGAAATTTGGTTATTCTCAAAATTAAAGGTGATATGAAAAGGTCAATACTTTTCGTAGGATGCTGAAGAACAAACTGTCGTATGGACTGATGGAAAAGCAGAGAATTTCTTCATGCATGGAATGCAAAAATAGATCGAACATTTAGAACTACATGTCATTCTGGTGATTATGTTAAAAAATGAATGCATATTGATTAAAATAAATTATTTTTCCTACTTTTAAAATTGGTCCTAAAAAGTTAATTTTGACTACAAAACATCTTTAATTTTTATGCATGTTAATAGAACCAATATAATCTTGTTGCAAGCACATTATTCAAGTAAATCCATAACATATTTTTATAGATAAGCTGTTAATCTATCTTCCCATATTAATTTTATAAAAATAGAGAACTTACTTATCAATCAATCCTCAGATTAAAAATTCCAATTATTTAAAATAAAACTTAATTGTAACAATTGTTTAGATCACTGGTGTGTAAACTTGATTGGCAAGATAAATTGCACATAAGTTGTAGATAGGTGGGCCATAAATATTTTGTATAATCCTTATATTAAATGTAGGCCTATTTCTATCATTTACAAGTAATATGTCAAATATATTCAAAGGCAGATTTGCATGGGCTAGATTAACAGATAATTTTTACTACTGGTTTGGATCATTAATTGAAATCACATTATGATACATAATAAACTTCAGCTTTTTATATATATATATATATATATATATATATATATAATATGAAAGTTATGNAATAAAATTCTTTAGAAAAACTACAAATCTATATAAGTTAATAACTATTGTAACTTGTATAAGAATAACTGATGATAAATCTCCCTGCATAATGATTAGTGATTAAGTAATACATTCTGACTGCACTGAGAACACACTAACTATCATATATTATATCAATAATTAATGAATTTCTTCTATGCTAATTTTGAAAAACCTAGTTAAATCTTTTCCAAGTATTTCATTCTAAATTCTAAAATATTTAAATATTCAAAGTAATAGCTGGATGGCTGAGGCAATTAAGATTTAATGTTCAGGATCTGGAAATGAATCCTGGTGAGCAACCTCATCAATTTTTCATGGGCAGTCTGTCCAAAAATGTTGATCCGCATCCCTCATTACCCAATTGCTTCCATTGTGGATCTAGCTGAACCCACAATGGATATGGAATAGAAGGTCTTCTTAGTGCCTACAGGGCTAAAAGAGCAAAAACAAAGTATTTGATTTCTGAAGAAAAACTATGCAATTTCTTCTGTAATTAAACATAAAAGCCAAACTGATTACAAGATTTCTCAAGATTATTAACAAGTTGACAATATAATGTTTAAATTATTAAAGTAATATTTCTAACTCAATGCATTTTATAATTGTAAAAGTACAGTAAAACTTCTCTAACTAAAAGCTACAAGGGGCAGGAAAAAACTTTTAGTTACAGGCAATTCAAGTTAGAGAACAAAAGTAAAAAATGCCAATTCTAAATAGATCTGTATTTTTATCTCTCTTGCTTTATATAAGAATCTTTGATAGCTTTTTTTTTTGTTTTAAGCAACCCGTGTAATGCCTTTCAGCAAAATGTTCAATGTAGCTAATGGAATCAAACAGTTTGCAAATACATCTTATTGAGATAAAGCGAGAGGACCTCTCACTAAAATAATGTCTGAAAATTGGAGAGTATTGTATTGGAGAGTAGATACAATTAACAGTCTGAAAATTTCATGGAAATCTGATAATTAGCATCACTTTGGATAGAATAAATATTAAAATTTGAGTCAGAGAAGTCAAAAGTAGCATAAATTGGTGTTGGTGGGTCATGAAAAACTTTGACTTGGAGAAAATTTGAGTTAAGAAATTGAAATTGGAGACATCAAATCCCTATGCTATTCCATTGAGACCTACCAAGTGCTTCATTTTCTTCGAGTTACAGAAGTTTTACTGTATTGTTTAAATAGTAAAGTTCCTAGAGAATATATTATTTTGTTAAACTTCTTAAAGTGCTTAAATGCTATTACAGTTTAAATAAATTAAGGTATTTTAAGTTATTATTGTTTGCTTCATATCTAATAGAATCTATTATCATTTATGGTGATTTGATAGAATAGCCAATCAACAAAAAACAATAAGATATTTTAGCTAAAAAAGTAAAGAGAACAAATTAAAAATCTATAGTGTATTTTTACTAAAAAATAAAATTTCTATTTCAAAAATTGTTTAATTTATTGCTTGCATCCTAAAAAAATACTTATTGTTCAGTTATACATATTTAAACTAATACATTATAATTTTTATTGTAATTCTACTTAGTAGTAAACATATTTATTAACTTCAAACACAATCCACGCAAAACACATAAGAAAGAAAAATAAATATTTTTACCAGCTGTTCCAATTGTCGCTTATGTGGATTGTTCTTTTTAAAAAATTCAATGGCTTTCACTAATTTTTCCATAGCTTCTAAATATGTTGTTAAGCATCCTCTAGGGCTAAATTTAAACAAAAATTTTTTATAATTTCTCAATTTACAGAAAACTTTTATTAAAGTTTTAAAACACATCTTACCCATCTCTTATTATTGGTTCAACTTCTCTTGCAACATTATAAAACTGGATGTAATAATCCAAATATTCCATTGTTTTTTCAATATCTTTTATGTTAAGAAATAAATCGAAAAAAGAAAATATCAAAGTTTTTATAAATACATAATTAGAAATTAAAAATATAGTGATGCCTCATACTTCAAATTTAATTCATTCCAAGAATTCATTCAAAGTTTGAAGAATTTTTTCCCTTTAGAAATAATGGAAAAGAAGTTAATCAATCCCCAGACCCTAAACAATACCTATTTTGATAAACTTAAAACATCAAATACATATAATTTAAGGTAAAAAATAACATAATTAAATGTCCTAATAATAAATTTAAACATGAAAATCATAAATAAAAATTTGTAAATACAGTATTGTATAATTAAATGAAAATTGAATTTATTGGTTGCACATAGTCCACATCGGCATCTTAATGTATACATGTAATTTGATTACATTTGTGAAATTTAACACATTAATAAATAATATGAGATTGTATTCTTTGTTTAGATGCTTATTTTAAACTCTATTTCACATTTGTTTAAATAAAATCAAGTAATGTCTTCAGATAAAAAGGTATATTGAGCATATTATGCTTTTTGACTTTCACGAAGAATATAATAAACAATAAAAAATACTCATAATGTATATGAGGTGATGATCCTAAACTTTGAGCATATTAAATGTGGTTTAAAAAGTTTATTTTGAATTAAAGAATACAAAATGTATGGGGTGCCCAAAAACTGTTGATAAAAAACAGTCGCAGGAAGAAATTGTTAAAAATCAACAAATAACACACAATACAATATATATATATAATTACACACCAAAAATAATGCAAAAAAGCACTGAAAACATACAAGCATAATGCAAGAGAGAGTGAGAAATGACTCGGACACATGATAGATTGTGCTTGAAGCATAAACACAATTTTTAACTGTATGTGCAGTTTGAACTCCAAGACAAAGTTTTCTCAAATCTTGCCTTTGAACTTGAAGCATTCAAACTAAGAGGTACTACTGTAATTTAAAAGATTAATTTACAATTGAAGGCAATATATCTTTAATTTCTTTTAAATCAATAATTTTAATATTGCACATATTGGAGAGTTTATTACTTTTTCACATGATGTGGTAACTCAAACTTTGAACAATAAATTCTACTAAAATTTACCTTGGAGTTCAAAGTGCAAATGCAGTGAAAAATGTGCTTGAAGCATACAAACAATTTGTTGAGCACACAAGTTGTCTCTCGCTCTTGGGTTATGCTCATATGTTTTCAGTGCTTTTTCTCATTTTATTTTTGATGTGTTTGTTTATATTGTGTGTTGTTCATCAATTTTTAACAATTTGCTCCTTTAATTTTTCTTCATTCACAGATTTGAGACCCCTCCATACATTTTGTATCATTTGGTTTAAAATTTCCTGAACAGAACTTTTTAAACCATATTTGACACATTCAAAGTTTGGGAGCATCATCCCCATGCACATTGTGAATTTTGTTTACTGTTTGTATGTCATCATATCCTTTCTGAAACTCTTAATAGGCCTGATATGCTTTTTATTTGAAGACATTTTGACTTGATCAGTGTAAAAATTTTAATAAAAATGTTTGTCAGCTCATTTGTAATAAATGAATATTTTTACTAAAATGCAGTAACTTAAACATTTTCAGCTTAATTGGCAATTATCTACATGGTTTATTCAATAAAATTCTTTAGAAAAACTACAAATCTATATAAGTTAATAACTATTGTAACTTGTATAAGAATAACTGATGATAAATCTCCCTGCATAATGATTAGTGATTAAGTAATACATTCTGACTGCACTGAGAACACACTAACTATCATATATTATATCAATAATTAATGAATTTCTTCTATGCTAATTTTGAAAAACCTAGTTAAATCTTTTCCAAGTATTTCATTCTAAATTCTAAAATATTTAAATATTCAAAGTAATAGCTGGATGGCTGAGGCAATTAAGATTTAATGTTCAGGATCTGGAAATGAATCCTGGTGAGCAACCTCATCAATTTTTCATGGGCAGTCTGTCCAAAAATGTTGATCCGCATCCTTCATTACCCAATTGCTTCCATTGTGGATCTAGCTGAACCCACAATGGATATGGAATAGAAGGTCTTCTTAGTGCCTACAGGGCTAAAAGAGCAAAAACAAAGTATTTGATTTCTGAAGAAAAACTATGCAATTTCTTCTGTAATTAAACATAAAAGCCAAACTGATTACAAGATTTCTCAAGATTATTAACAAGTTGACAATATAATGTTTAAATTATTAAAGTAATATTTCTAACTCAATGCATTTTATAATTGTAAAAGTACAGTAAAACTTCTCTAACTAAAAGCTACAAGGGGCAGGAAAAAACTTTTAGTTACAGGCAATTCAAGTTAGAGAACAAGAGTAAAAAATGCCAATTCTAAATAGATCTGTATTTTTATCTCTCTTGCTTTATATAAGAATCTTTGATAGCTTTTTTTTTTGTTTTAAGCAACCCGTGTAATGCCTTTCAGCAAAATGTTCAATGTAGCTAATGGAATCAAACAGTTTGCAAATACATCTTATTGAGATAAAGCGAGAGGACCTCTCACTAAAATAATGTCTGAAAATTGGAGAGTATTGTATTGGAGAGTAGATACAATTAACAGTCTGAAAATTTCATGGAAATCTGATAATTAGCATCACTTTGGATAGAATAAATATTAAAATTTGAGTCAGAGAAGTCAAAAGTAACATAAATTGGTGTTGGTGGGTCATGAAAAACTTTGACTTGGAGAAAATTTGAGTTAAGAAATTGAAATTGGAGACATCAAATCCCTATGCTATTCTATTGAGACCTACCAAGTGCTTCATTTTCTTCGAGTTACAGAAGTTTTACTGTATTGTTTAAATAGTAAAGTNTTCATCTTTTTCATGTTTCGAAGAAGCAATTCTCAGTCGCTCAACGAAATCTCCAAATCTCTTCCTATTACCGATCATAGGAAGGAGAAACCTTCGATGACTACTTCCACTCGTTAAAACTCTTTGTAATGATTCTAATGTCTTTAATTATAATTTTTGTTAATGCCACACACAACATATCATTACTTCCTCTTTAAGTCAGCTTAAAGTATAATTATAAAAAATTGTACTTTAAGTTGATAAAATAAAACTTAATTGTAACAATTGTTTAGATCACTGGTGTGTAAACTTGATTGGCAAGATAAATTGCACATAAGTTGTAGATAGGTGGGCCATAAATATTTTGTATAATCCTTATATTAAATGTAGGCCTATTTCTATCATTTACAAGTAATATGTCAAATATATTCAAAGGCAGATTTGCATGGGCTAGATTAACAGATAATTTTTACTACTGGTTTGGATCATTAATTGAAATCACATTATGATACATAATAAACTTCAGCTTTTTATATATATATATATATAAAGCTGGTCTTTTTCAGATCCATTATAGGTTCAGCCAGGCCACAATGAGATAGCCAAGTGGTAAGAGATGGAAACCAAAAATGTCTGAGAATTTTTGATCACACGAATTCAATTCTAGATCCTCAAAACAGTAGCTGATGCCTAAACCACTTCTGCCAACCAGATGCTATTTGCAGGGCTTGTAGCACATAAGTCAAAACAAGTGAGAAAAGTAAATTTTTGGATGGAAAGTGAGTAAAATGTGACCAAGAAGTGAGAAATCTTTCAGTGAAAAGTGGACAGGAACTGGTATATGCAACTGCAATGAATTAATAATTTTTTATTTTCTCTGTAATTTCTTTAGTTATCTGTATAATTTTTACATGATCAATAATGTTTGTTTCTATTAGTGATGAGATCATACCAAAATTCCTCCATATTCCAATTCTTTTGAATACATTTTAAAGTTTATTTTAGTTTAGCAAAATTAATGATTTACATTATGAGTATGGTACATTCATTAATGAATAAACATCAAGCTTATGAATGGAAAATAATTGGGAAATCCAGAATTAATCTTTTGAAAGAAAGCCTAAAATTCTCTATTTATATGTGGATATGCATGCTTTTATTGTGTACTATNGAAGAATAATAGAACTATTAAAATATGTATATAAAATATAATCATATTTAAATTCATATAAAAGTTCAAAAGTGATTTTTCGAAAACAATTTTCCAGAAATTTATACTCTTAACGATGAATGAGAACCGTGATTTGTCACTTGAGTGTCACTCACTAACACGTGTATCCGCTCTTTTATGGCATCTATGAATTCACTTCACCTAACTCTAACATAGTAAACAGAACCGTAACGAACAGACATAGTCTTTATAATTCGAGACTTCTAGCGAAACTATTTACCGTATAAATGAAAATAAATAAATGTCCAAGAATTAAACAATTAACAAACTTAAAATGCATAAAATAACATACACTTTTTAAAATCCCAAAATATTAAGTTAAAATAAAAATATAATACAATACAAGCTTATTTTATGATCTAATATGCAATATCATAATGTTTCTAGTAATAAATTAAGATCGAATATAAAATTATCATCAGTGTAAAAATATAATATATATAATTATTAATTGCATGGATCGGAAATAATATAATTAAATACGGTAACTTAAATTTGTAAGTCGAGTACTTTAGTGTTTTACGTGTTCCCTGAAGTATTAGGATTACAAATTTAAATGATTTAATCATAATACATAGTCAATCATAAAGTTTATATATAATGCATAATCTGAATCGCATTATTCATATACAGTATACACAATACGTAGAATATATGAAACCCAGGGCCGTCAATAGAAAGGGACTACGGATTTTTCGCCGGGCCCGGAGAAAACTTAGGGGTCCGTAGTAGGGGTCCCTATAAATTAATGTTATTTTAACTAATAAAAAAACCAAAATAATTGTTTAGATTTATAAAATAGGAACCTAAATTTGATTTACGGTATGTTTAGGGCCGTCGAGAGAAGCTGGGGAATTTTCCTCGGCCCGGAGAAAACTTAGGGGTCATAGTGATTTTTAAGACTGCTTTTTTATGAATAAAGAAACCTT